GTTGGTTGGAATGTATTCTTTCATCCACCTGTTCCAGAAAACTTCCGACAAATATTCACTTGTTTCCAACGTCGAGTGAGCCGCTCAATTCGCAATATCACTTGTTTCCAACGTCGAGTGAGCCGCCCTTTCAATTCGCAATGCGACGGGATACCTGCGTTCGCTTTGTGCAGCAAGGGGTGATTCGGAGTCGGAGCCAAAGCATCACGGGAATCTGCAGTCAAAGATGTCAAAGGCCGATCGTTTAGAATACGTTCCACCTCAACAAAAAAGGTTGACAGACAATCATCAGATAGAATTTGCTCTTGGATGAGCACAAAAATGATTTGCCGTACTGATCGTATCATTCGCCCCCACACTCCTCCTCGATGGCTAGCAAGCGGGGGGTTAAAATGCCACTGAATACCTCGAGCCAATAGTCGGTTGTTGATTTTCGCTTGGCCCCAAAGCGATACGGCACCAACGAAGTTGGACCCGTTATCGGTGTAAATATCCAAAGGTCGCCCTCTTCGACCAACGAATCTCATTAAGGCCAAAATGGAGGAATCGGTAGTCAAAGAATGCGCCACTTCGAGGTGAATCGTCGGGTAGCCCATGCATGAAAAGATGCAGCCGTATCTCTTTTCCATGCTGCGACCACGCTTTACCAGAAACGATCCAAAGTAATCAACACCCACAGCCTCGAAACATTTTTTACCCTTTTCAGATCGCACCGGGGGTAACGGAGCCATCATCTGCTGACATATGTTCCTTGACCGCTTTCTGCATTGAATACACTTATGGAGGACGTGCTTTATCGCCTGACTCCCATGAACTATCCAAACGTTTTGCCTAATAACGCCAAGTACATGAGAGGCGCCAGAATGCCCTTCTGCCTCATGATAGTGCCAAATGAGTAGATCAGTGACCGAGTGTTTATTGGGTAAGATAGGCGGGTGCTTCAGAGATAATGCATAACTGGAATAGTGTAGCCGTCCACCAACGCAGAGAATACCGTACAGAAGGATGGGACATAGCTTACGCAGTGCTGAGACCCTAGTCGGCTCCGACTGAGTGTCCGCTTTTAAACGACTTAACTCATCACTGTATACTTCTGTTTGAACCTAACTAGTAACGACCACCCCAGCTTCTGTCAATTCTCTCACTTGTAGGCGACCGACACACGGTGTGACGACAAACCATCCAAAGTTGTGCACGATGGATTGGATGAAGCGCCTCAACCATGCAGCTGATTTCAACAGCACAAACCAGCTAGCCCATCGGACAAACAAACGCCTGGAAACACTTCGAGTAGAAATAACGTTAAAAGTTACTCGGCTCGCTTTCAGCTCCACGCAATCGGGTATCCGATCAGGGGTCAAAGGTGACCCAACAATCTTCGGTTCGTTGATAGACTCTGGTCCATACATCCAGCGACTCAAATCGTCCGCTCCTTTATTACCCCTGGATGCTAGGTCGGCAGGGTTCTGCGATGGGTCCCCGTGCCTCCATTCGCTCGGTGAAAGGTATTCTTGAATAATGGCTAGCCTATTGGCTACAAAGTTACAAAACCTCGTGGTCTGATTATTGGTGTAATAAAGCACTATCTGTGAGTCAGTCCAGAGAGTGGTCATGCAGAAAAAGTTGGGTAAACTTTCACTAAGTAGCTTATAGACCCTGGCGGCTAATGCGGTGGCAGCAAGTTCTAACCTCGGAACGGTAACGGTTTTTTCCGAAAATCAAACTCGACCACTCGGCCACTCGACCATCGTTTGACGCATGTGCAGCGACGCCATAACCTGTTTCCGACGCGTCTGAGAATATATGAAGCTCACGGTTACAGACACCCACAAATTCGTTAGGGAGCAAGCATCTCGGGTACTGCACACCTCCTATCGACTTGACCAAGTTCAACCAAGAATGCCCCCGAATTGAGTGGTCTTCAATGACAGGAGAGTCCCAACCCAGACCGGCCTTACAAAGTTCCTGTAGCAGCTTTTTCGCGGTCAAGTATACAGGGGTGGCTTGGTAAACGTATTCCGCCCACTTGTAAAGTATTGGGCAAGCACCTCACTAACCTATCCAAATTCTCCAGGGAAATCAGTTCTGCACTGTAGTTCATCTGAGTCAGAGCTATTTTGCAACTCTGAATCTCGAAGGCCAACTGAGACTCTTGCCTTACACGAAGTAGAACGAAACCACTTAATGGGATCATCTATCAGGGCTCTAGCATCCACGTGAGACCTTCCGAAAGACTCGTGCAGAATTCGGCGGGCTCGTTCATATCCTTCCGCTGGCTGAAGCATGAGGCAATCTTCTATAGCCGCCCGGGCTACACCGGAGCACGCGTTTCCCAATTGTACGAGCCTCTTCCCCTCGTCTTGGGTCTTGCTTTCGATGTAAAGCTCGAATTGACGCATAAACTTCCAGTAGCTCCTGGGTTGACCATCAAACTGCATGTGGCCGATTTTAGGCAACCCCAGGCCCTCTATAGTGCATTCCAGATGACGAAAGTCACCTAATCCATCATGCTGTCGTTCTCCTACTCCGAGACTATGATGATTTTCAGAGTTCAATGGCGTTACAATTTTTCTGCAATCTTCAACATGGCTTTTGATGCGACTTTTTGAGGACTCTGAAAAACCTGATAGGTTGCACTGATCTAAACCCTCTTTTAACCATCATTGTGTACAAGTGTCAAAAAGTAATGAGAAGGTAAACACCCTTGGCTCCCAGCACTTTTGGACCAAGAGATTACTGCCTATAAACCGCTTTTTGAATCAAAGCTGGAAGAAGGGGATATTGACATTGAGAAAGGGGGACGACACTATTGCAGTTTACGTCAGAACCCCGGGGACCTGTGGGGTGAATTCATTTGGACCGTATAGATTTACCATCAAATTTGATACTTCTAGCTCACTCAAACGATGTAACGACCGTTTCGAATTCTTGAGCAACGAGCACCAAGGTTAGCAACCAAACCGGCAAAACTCCGAACGAATGGCTACGCAAATGTGCTGTACTATAAAAATGAAAGTAGTAACACGGAATACAAAATTACTAACCTCAACGGTTTTCGACAAACGGTGAGGTACTCCAAAAGGCAAGCAGAGCCGATATGGATCAACAGTCAACGCGTGACCGAAACCGCATCTCAAGCTCATGAATTAAAACATTATATAGCTGCTCAAGGATTTGGTACAAAAACAGTATAACCAGAGCGGTGAAAGCGATTTGCGCGGTAAGGAAAACGGAGAATATAAATGTCTTGTAAAACTGAAATTGGGTTCGATTCCACCAGTCCATAAAGGGTGGACCATTTGAAATGTTAACCGGGAAGGCAGTCATTCAAGATTGGAGGAAATTTGAAATATATATGCAGTTGCAACCCACGATATTCTTGATGATTTGTCTGAGTTCAATATCATGTAACAGTTGCGTTTACTTGCGGTACGCGCAAAACACATCTGTCTATATTCTCTCAATCATCTTCGATTATTAATGGAGGAAGAAGCATCTGCGAGGAGAATGGTTTCGTAGGAGAAATTAAGCGCTACATGCGTTTTCTTGCTGGACCGATTTGTGCTTGCCCGCTGCATCCCACGTCGACGAACAATGTGAAGAACCTTTAACTATCTATTCCGTTGTGAAACCGACTGCTTCTGTAGTTAATTTCCGCGGTAGTTGCCTCAAGCCTCTCTTGAGGGGAACTTCCCTCATTTTTTCGATGTCAGACAAGCCCCCTCTTTGAGACTGTTTTGGTGGAACTGTTTCATGTTTCGCACAAAAATGAAGGCCGGAAAGGATTTTGTCAGATTTCTCATGCCAGTTAGGTCGGTATATCATAGTAGCTCTAGAGACTCGCTTGAATGCTTTCGAAGAGAATCTCCCGAAATATCTGATTTATGAATAATAATTCAGCATTATGGAAGACTGAGAAAACTTCACCCACTTGGAGAACGACAATTTGAAACCCTAGATCATTTTGGGTAAAACCAGATATCTCTGGATAAAATTGGAAAATTCTCCGGGATTTCTCCTATGAACTCTATGAGAACTTTCAGTATTTTCCCATCTTGAAAGGACGAAGAGGAACAAATCTGTCTAAACTCCCTAGAAATAAACTGCTGAAGCTCCGTGAACCGAGACGCCGTCAAGGATTGTCGATGTAATGACGCGGAAAACAAGACAAAGGGAAAGCTGTGAGAATTTCATTGAACTTTATCGGGCAATATTATGTAGTCAAAAAACGTGCATGTAGCATGACATTTGTGTTTAGGGTCATCAACGATAAAGCACGTGAACTCCTTTAACCACTTCCACTGATGTGGAAGCCACTGATTAGGAGACTAACGGTGACACAATATTCTAAGAGCACTACTCATATCATTGATTTCGTGCCCGTTGTATGTTGCTTTGGGACTTTATGATTTTCTGCATCTAGGTGTATTTAAATATCCGTGTTAGAAGTTGATGATTGTGCAACTTATGCATGTATTTAGTCAAATGTTAGAATTCGGCTCTTTCATTGCCTCCTTGGGCCAAGCAGCTGATCTGGGACATGTTCCGTTCCACCAGCACGTGAACTTGTGTTCATAGCTGAACAAGGCTTTTTCTGCTCAATGTTTGGTTTGTGAAAGGGAGCTGCAACTAGATCCACAGGACACGAATCTTTGCGGAGGCGCTATTGCTTTTGGCCACCCGTTATGAGCCACCGTTGAGCGCATATTGAATCATCCCATTCATCAGCGCCGCTGGCTATTTGCACACCCAAATTAATTTCGCCGAAACTATCAAGTTTTCCAACTTGAGCCTTTACCGGCGAGTTGGTCTAATTCACTCGCACCTTCCGGGGACGTGTTGCATGTAGCACTTTGTTTAAGTGAGCGAAATTTCAAGGCAACAGACCATCACCGATTCCCTTTTCCACCAATTTGCGCGACAGAAAACACGAAATCGGACTTTATCGTATTTGGGCATTCTTCGGTGTTCTTTAAGTACGGGAAATATCTAAAGAATGTCTAGTGCAAATTTCACCCTGGAAGACCGGCTGTTGACGTTTGTTTGCTCTACGCCCCTCAGCTTTAACAAATGCCATTATATTTGCAAAATATATTTTGTTCGGTGAACCTGGTCACAGCACATTTTTCTGTGGATCTCAACTTCCATTATGCACAACATTGTTAGACAAAAGCGTTGAATGTGCGGTGGCAACTCAAGGGCAATCTACGTTGATGACCCCCTTTCCCAGATATGCGTAGCTAGACTGTGGATAATACAGCGTTACGAGATAGCTGCAGGTATCATTCCTGTTGTGGATACGACTTCTGGATCCTTGTCCATTATGAGGCCTCACCTGTGCACGGTAGCCTAATTTAATGACGAACGACGCTCTCTCGTACCCATAACCATACGCGATACTGCTTATCTTTGCTACCTATAGTAAACACCAGTCCAGTATCCATACAGGCCGGAAAAATAAGGCCCCAACTATGCGTGATAGCATAATCCGATGGCCTATCATTCTCATATAGCTGAACTCGATGTCGCCTTCCCTGGCTACTTGTCTTACCTGCTAGTTCCGTGTTCATGTGCGGCGTTGATTAACCGGTAACTCAGTCCAGCCTAATCTGTCGTACTGGCAACTATA